ACTTCCCTCATGATTCAATTACCTCCACCTGGTACCACCCTTGACATGTGGGGATTACAATTCAAGGTGAGATTTGGGTGAGGACACAGAGCCAAACCATATCAGCATCTTCCACAAAAAATGATACATTTTTAGACAAGTGAAAAGACAAAAGAAAAGGACTTTGAGACTCACAAGGCAGGAAATTGTGGAAAGGCAAATAAATGAGAAACTAATGGTAAAGGCAGAATGGTTAAATCTAGCTAATTTTAAAAAATGCAGTACCTCACATACTTAACATTTTTATGGCAAGAGGATAAAAACATACAAAGTTATCTGTCAATTTTAAAAAATAGAATTTTTTAAATAACCAGCTAGTTAATAAAGTTTATCATGTAGATTCCTCTGGAGCTGTCTCTGGGCTAAGGGTCTACAGTCTGGTGATAAACATTTGTCTTTCCTTTTAGAGAGGGAAGGGAAACCGTTGTCAATTTTTGTCCTGCTTTTAGGTAAATAGGTGGCTGGGGGACAGAGAGATTTTCTTACGTCTGCTTTGTCTCAATTGCCTTTAGTTCAAAATAATCCTCATGCCAAAGTGGCATATTTTGGGATGCATATTCTGCTACCCTTCACTGGAATAAGGAAAAACTAATAATTAGTCCTATCTCTGTTATTTTTTTTTTTTTGAGATGGAATCTCACTCTGTCTCCCAGGCTGGAATGCAGTGGCACTATGTCAGCTCACTGCATCCCGAGTTCAAGAGATTCTTCTGCCTCAGCCTCCGAGTAGCTGAGACTATAGGTGCATGCCTCCATGCCCGGCTAATTAATTAAGGAAAGAAAAAAGGAAAGAAGGAAGGGAAGGGAAATGAAAGGAAGAGAGAAGCATAGATATAGTATCAATGCTATAGATACAAATTTATTCTAATTGTTCTACAAGAAGCATGCAAAATGCTCACTTTGAGAATAATTCCCTCTGACTATAAAATAGGAGGTTTCATGGAGGTTACAGAGGTGAAAAATAATTTGGAAACTGTTTGATATTTTTGCATATTTTCTATAAACCTAAAGCTAGTCCAAAGTAAGGGCTTTTTTTTTAAGTGGATCATGAAATTAGAGGTGTTGCCAGGAAGACTGTAAATTTTTTTTTTAAATGAGCATATATGGAACACCTGCTAGGTTATTAGGTCCTATGCTGCACACATTCAGTTATTTCATTTCATCCTCAAAATAATTCTATAAGGCCCAAAAATTAGCCTTCCCATTGCTTAGAAAAGAAAGTTCACGATAAGATAGTTCAACTAATTGTTCAAAGTAACTCAGAAGCTAAAATACATCAAGACTCAACATGCAGACCCAGCCGATCCCAAAGTCTAGCTAGTTTTTTCCTGGCAGAGGAAGTACCATGAGCAAAAGCAGAGGCCTCAATCAGGTAACAGCAAATGGTCCAGTCTGATTAACATTCAGGGTACATGTGGACAGTATTGGGAGTAGCAGTTTAAAAGCCGGTGGGGAACCATGTTTTTCCTTAATGATATTGACTAAAAACAGTTTTAATACTGCAACCACTCTATTTGCCTTAGCTGTCATCCAAAGGTATCCCATTGTCACAGTTACCTAACAACTAGGCCAACATCTCCAACATCTCATCTGAGAAAATAAATGAGTTTTCCTCCTGTTCTCCACTACTAGATATCAACGTGTTTATATATGGCTCCAGGGACTTGGATGGATACTGAAAAATCTAAGGTCCCACTCAAGTTTACAGAAGCCCCAGGAGGTCTACGTTAACCCCCTAAGAATATTTAGGGGGAAAAGACTGATTGTGGAATTATCATGGTAGTTCTGACTTATTTTCAAGCTGGTGCAGAGCTGTGAATTTAATCAAGAGCCCATCTGGAGTTATGAGTTGGTCCATATATCCAAACACTGGTATCAAATCAACATAAATTATTTGCACTTACCTTAATTATTCCCTTTTCTAACTACCCTATAGCCTCAAATCCAGGTGAGTATTTTGCAGAATGGCTTCCTTAAAATGTGAGCTTAAAATGGCTAATCTGATCGAGTTGTTAAAATACAATGGCATGGTAAAAGTGCTTATGGCTTATGTCAAAGGGTTTAGCAGCCCATCAGATTCTGAGTGACTGAGTTGACTGAGACTATCAGTTCAATCAATGTCACTAAAATCTCTAACAAAAAATACTATGCTAATAGCACCAGACTGATGATGTGGTATAATGAGAAAGGTATGTTTGGGTAATTACATGTGAACCATTCTAAATATGCTCCAGGCCATATAATGAACCCTCTGGTGAGTAGCTGATGGGCCTATTATTAAGATCTCAAGTTCATTAGCAAACATGATATAACATAAAGTGCCTTAACTTAGGAACCAGAATAGAATTCAAATCTTGGTTATTAACCTTACGAGTAGCCTCTATGAAATTATTCCCTCATTATACTTATACCTTCGTAAAACTGTCTTGAAGATAAAGTGAAACAAAGTGAAAAAACTCTAGTAACCACAGAATGGTGTCAACAGTGCTGTGCTGCTTACCAAGGTATGGTAAGCCAGTGGTGCATGACATGAATCAAATAAGGTAAATCAGGCATCTTCAGGAAGGGAAGGTCCCATGACATGATTATAATCCTCTCAATCATGTCAGGAGAAAAGCCAGCATCTGTCTGAAGCTGAATACATTAAAATGCTCAGAAGATATGTGTCTCTTGGGTAGTAAGTCTGAGATTTGGGGGCCTACAATTCTCTTGCGAGAATGAGTTTGCATCATAGAATTTAGAGGACTAGAACAGGACAAGGTAGAGAGAGCCTGCAGCAAGGACATAGCAAAGGCAGAACTAAAGCTAGGCCCAGATCTAGATCTGGATTTATATCCCCACTGTCATGGACTAGGCTGTCTTACATCCTCCTCCAAGAAGGTCACTGGCCCATGGCGATGTTGCCTTCCTCAAAGGTTGGCATTCAACAGAAGAAACCTATTCCATTGGTGCCTTTCAGACCGTCTTAAGAAATAGGCCTTCTTTACTTACTCTGTGCCTTATCAACTGGAAAATCCCGAGTGGCAAATAAAGATCAACTTCCTAACACCTGCAGCAAAGTGTAACACATCTGTTTTAAACCAAATTTATGTGGCATGGGCCTGAAGTACCTCAACATAGAAAAAATATCAGAAAGGCAACCGATTTAGCACCTATGAGAGTCAAAAAAGAGGAATGCAGAGTAGCTATACAGCTTAGTCAACATGGCAGGAGGCAGTCAAGACATGAAGCCCAAAGCTGCATATGGCCCTTGTTTAATTTGTTTCTTAGGCAGGACCACAATGGGAAAAGAGATTTCAGAGCTTCTCCATGTATGAAATCAGGTGCAGGTTATGAACAAGAAACAGATTTTTTTAAAAATGATGTTTAGACAGAAAAACTCTATGGGCAGTTTAATAATGCGTGGGCAAAGGGATGGAACTAACATTTAATTTCCAGTATGTTCCCTGAATGAGAGTTTAGACTGTGATAACTTTTTGACCTGAAATTAAAAAAAAAAAAAAAAAAAACGCTGTCACATTTTTGGACTGCTTAAAATATCCCAAGTACTGTTACAAGTGCCTTGCATGTGTTAACTCATTTAATCCTCGTAACAACTCTATGAGGTAGTATTTCTATTGCCCATATGCATGAATGGACACCAAAGCCTAAAGATTTAATTAACTTGCTCAAAGTCAAAAGCCGGTTTGGTTCAAACCTACTCAAGTTGGCTTTAGATCGCACTCACTGTGCCACACTGAACTTACTGCCTTAGGTACAAAAAAGACCTCGCGTCTACAGTGGCCAAGAGAAAAGAAAAACTGGATCAAACTTTGACTAGAGGGTATAAAGGCTGAACAAGAAAGCAGGACAAGTGATTAAAAAGATCAAGTTTTTTAGAGAATCTGCTTCCAAGAGTAGTTGTGATTTGGTGTGTTTTGTGGTCTATGATTTTACTCTACTGGATCCCATGTAGAAGGGTGAAAGAGTCTCAAGAGAAAGGCCAAGAATTCCAAGGATATGATATTAGGAGACACAATCCCCCCAGTTTCCTGAGTGGTGTTAGCAGTTAAGCACATAGTGGCAAAATGGCTGGGAGGCTTTTTGTGTGTGGTTTCCCTGGGATGTCCACTGTGATTCCATGCCTCTAGTAATCCAATCAAACCCAACTCTAGAGCTCGAGGGGGAAAGCTAGAGTGTAATGACATCACTTGAGAAATCCTTAGTCATTTGCTCAGTTTTCCATGTTTTTACATAGAATACAGCAGGGGCTATAGAGTCAGACACTGTGCAACCACACTTACGATGTGTTTACAGACAAAATAGTCCCCTGGGCTTCAGCTTTCTCAACTACTAAGTGAAAGTTATATCCATCTCTCAGGATTATGTAAGGATTAAATGCAATAAGTAAAAAGCATTGCACAGAGTAACATTTACTAATCAACAAATGTTGGCTCCATCCCTTTGCCTAAGCATTATTACCAAGAGTCCTAAAAGGCCATAAATCTATAAAAAGAATGTGATAGAAAAAAAAAAAAACCCACAAAATTCTTACAAGTTATAAAGATAATATACAAAGCTCTGAATGAAAACACTCTAAAATACCCAAGTCCAACAGGTCAGTTGGCATTATCAACTGTAGTAATGAAGTCAAAGTTTGATGTTCATACTCCATTTTGTTCTCACAAGGTATGTTATTGGTAAAACTTGCAGACTCATTCTTCATTTAAAATGGAGCCCAATAATTAAATTGGTGTTAAAACAAGGTCCAGAGGTTTTACAACTTCGAGCTAAAACTAGTAACTCCTGCAACGTGAATAACAAACTTACTGAATTAAGATTCTCTCTTTTTCTCTTTTAGTATCAGTATTTATAATGCAAAAATAAAAGTTCAAAAACTTGGTAAGGATAAAATGTTCCCACAAACTATATAAAATCCATCAATACTAAACAAAGCTGAAAAGAATTCAAATGAGATCATGAGAAGTTGCTTCAAGTTTAATACCTCTTTCGTTTTAAATAAGTTAGAATAGATCCATAAACACAAAATTAAGCCTCTGATACTATACTCATGCACTCAAAGGATGAACAAACTTCAAAAATAACATATTTTTCCTTGACAAAATCAGTAAATTGGCAAGCTTGTCAAAGAATCATTTCAGCCTAACATTTTACTTAGTGGATAAATATTTGTCGACAATCTGTAAATAGTATAAATGCTTTTCTCAAAATACTAAGTGAAAGACGCCAGGCACAATAGATTAAACATTGCATGATTCCATTTATATGAAGTTCTCAAACAGCAGAACTAATGATAGAAAGCAAACCACTGTTTGCCAGGGGCCAAGGATAGGAGGAGGGGATTGACTGCAAAAGGACAAATGAGAAGTTTTTGAGGTGAAGAAAGTGTTCTGTGTCATGATCACTGTGGCAGACAGACAGCTGTATGTATGTTTTCAAAATCACTGAATTCGACACTGAAAATTGGAGAACTTTATTTTGTGAAAATTATACCTCCATATCTAAAAAGTTAATACATAACAAATCAATATGCATTTCAAAGAATTATTTCAGTCAAATTATTTTACTTGGTAGACATTATTTGTAGGAAATCTGTAAATAATATTTTTTTCACAATCACAGTTTTTGCTGACATGTTTATTATAAAGAATATCTTTTCATTTTCTCCTAGAAGAGAAAATGCTTGGAAGGTGATCTTGAATGCAATTTAAACCCCTACGGAAATGGTGTAGAAACTCAGTATACAAATGCAGTACTTGGCAGGTCTTTGAATATTTTTTCCAGAATGTTAATAGTACAGCAGAGTTTGCAAATTCAGGTCATACAAGGGCCAAGTGGATGATATAAGGGAGCAGCATGGCGGCAGTGGTACAGTGGTAAAGTGGAGAGCACAAGGCTCTTCCCAAGTCAGCCACCACCACTAGGTCCTGCAGACTAATGTCAGGAAAAAACAGAGGCCTCAGTGTAGCCAGAGCCTCTGATGTTTACAAAGAAGCAGCAATCTGGACTTTTATGTGAAATATTCCCATTTTTTAGAATGATGGTTCTAAATGTATTTTACAATACCATACAGGCCACACAAAACACATCCACAGATACAGTTATGATCTCTGGTCCACGGTGTATGTTTTCTGAACTTTTTCAATAGCATGGTCTTGCCATCTTTATAACTGCTTACCACTTAATTTGTATAATCTAGAATAACGTAGAAGATTAGTGCAACTCAAGTAAAATCCACCTCAAAATTACGTAAAGGCTAGTCATTTCTGGTCCCTTACTGAAAAACCAAGTCCTATTTATATTCTAAGCATATGGCTTGGTAACAAAATAAAAAATGGGTTAGAATAATGGAAAAGTGGTGAGGAAACGATGAAGAAACCAATTCCTTAAACAAGATCATAGTCAGCTTCCAGACTCCAGAGCAATAAAGTAATCCATATGCTGAAATTTGAGAACTTCATTGCCCCAACTAGTCCAACCTGGCTGTAAATTTCGAGCAAACAATTCCAAATATTCCCCATCTGGCTTGATGTAGTCTTTTAAAACCTCTGTTCAAAAAAAGAGAAAAAACATAAAAATTATTATTAAGGAAAGAATCCATTTCCTTTTAGCAGTTCAGAGTAGAAGAAGAGAGATGTTTCATTTTTTTCTTATAAACAGCAAATTAATTTCAAGGATTTCATCACAGGCTTTACTATTTATAGTTAGAAAGCCATTTAAAATAAAGTACCCTTGAGATTGGGAACAATACCATCTGAACTTCCATAGTCCTGATTTACTGGTTTTCATTTGTAGATGAGAAATGAGGACTTTAACACCTACATAGGTGACTTTTCAGTTTTCCAATACTGCTGACATATCTCCTGAATACTAACTTTATTTATTTATTTTATTTTTCTATTTTTTCATTTTTCTTGAGACAGAGTCTCACACTGCTGCCCACACTGGAGTGCAATGGTGCAATCTCGGCTCACTGCAGCCTCCGCCTCCCGGGTTCAAGGATTCTCCGGTCTCAGCCTCCAAAGTAGCTGGGATTACAGATACACAGTGCCACACCCAGCTAATTTTTTTGTATTTTAGTAGAGACGGGGTTTCACCGTGTTGTCCAGGTTGGTCTTGAACTCCTGAGCTGAGGCAATCCACCCACCTCAGCCTCTCAAAATGTTAAGATTACAGCTGTGAGCCACGTGCCCAGTCAATTTATTTTTAATAAATATAATCCATGCATGAAAAAGAACTCTTAAAAAAATTCAAAAACAATCTATTTTTTAAAATAAGATAAAAGTCTCTCTGCAACATAAACTTAATAAAATAGTAATAAATGAAGAGCTGGATAGAGACAGAAATATTGAGAACAAATAACTAACATTTAAATAACTAGCCCCCTTAGCAGCAAGTTGGTAGTACTAAGAACATTTCCTCATTTTCAAATTATAGATCCTTCTTTACCTAAAAGTTCAACATAGTATTTCCACAGTTAAGTATTCCTTGTATTATTCAATGTATTAATACTATTGAACATTGTATTTTGTTGGGGAAAGAACTATAGGCTAAAGAGCTGTTATCTACACTAAAAGAGAGAAAAGGAGAACACAGAAACTTTTTGAAAACCACATGTTCACTCAGTTGGATGACCAATACTTAAATCAATTTAATCTTAATCATGCTGCTGGTTAGCCATGCTAACCACATACTAGGAATTTGGTATAAAATTCAGATAAGAAAAATCACTAGAAAAGGTAAAATACAGTTCATAACTGCTATGTACAATTAAGCTTGGAAGAAACCTATCAAATTTCCTTCAGGAATAATATGGGTTCCCTAGGAATACTAGAGATAGGTAAAGTTTAAAAGAGAATAATATCAAACATTTTAGGTTTCATCATGTTCTTCAGTTGCTCTCATAGCAAAATACTTGTTCATCTGTCAGAAAGTACTAGTCCTGTTTAGCAAAAATCAAAGAAAAACTAAAAGGTTTCATTGTCTATAATTCAAGTGACTCAAATTTGGGCTTTGATGGCTTCTAGGAGATGCTGGCATGAAGACTTCTAGCCCTTTCATAAGTATATAAATTAAATGCTACTAACCTTGAAAGAGAAAGATTTCCCTAGAGTCTTAGAGGACAATAACTTTACATCACTTTTCCATTTTCTCCTTATGAATGCAATGCCTTACCGGCCTCAATTCACTTTTAATGTAGTCTAAGGTTACACTGAAGCAAGGTTTTATTTGTTTCATTTGTTCAGATTTTTGGTATGAAGATGTTAGCAACCCTATTTTAGAAATTTAAACTGGAGTCAGCCACTCAAAAATGTTTCCTCTCCTGAGCACCCACTATAATCAGTGTTATAGGACTTAACAAAGGAAGCAGAATACCTATGTTTTATGAGCGTTCACAATAGAAAATGATAGCCAGGTACTTAGATGGAGTGGAAAAATACATACAACCTAAACCCATTTACTACCATCCTGTTTTCTCAATGTCATAAATTTTTGCGTGGTTCTTTTCCTTTCTAGTTAAGAACAACAGACAGAATATTAAGTTGTGTTTTTATAATGTTAACTACAATTATTTTATTTCAAAATAACATAAAGGCAAATTAATCAAAATATTATTCTGATTTTTAAATATTAATTTAAAAATAAATGTGAATATATAAATTTAAACATGAGTATGACACATAAACTTCAACAATTACATAACATCTGGAGTTAGTAAGACATACTTTAACCAATGGAGAGGATGCAATCCGTGCACAGCTAGTCATTTCCTTTTTGCTTTGAAAGTGTGGGGCAGGAGTAAAAGAGAAGTGGCCTAAACATCAGTGCATATAATCCCATCAGTTAAACTCCACTCTTCAGATGGAGACTGTTAGTAAGTAAAGCAGTAAAAAGAAGTAGAAATTCCTCTAAGGTAAAACGTGAAAGCTAAAATTTGGATTTAAATACTTTTATTTCATGATTTTCCTACCTTAAATCTTCAAAAGATATAAATTTATAATAATGTTAGATTGTAAACCATAGCTATTAATAGCTTATCTTTCAACCTATTGGAAAAAATTTCAAACTTATGCAAATGTATCATTTTGAAATGGCATATGCTACCAATATGGTCATCTACATTTTGCAGCAGAAATAACCAATTAAACTTTAAAACAAATATCGGGGTGTTTCTAGATAGATACAAAAGAGAAAACATTTCATTTTATGAATTTGTATAAAACAGTTTAAGAACATTTAAATGTAAAAGTTGTAAGCATTATATACAGAATATATATCATCCCAAACCCCTAGAGTTATGATTTCGGGGTAAAATATACTGCAGAAATCTGAGAGATGCTTTCTGAAATACATAGAGTAACATGAACTGTATTCAAAATACACATAGTAACATAAACTCAAAAATAAAATATTATCATATTTCCTGTCTATCACTACTTAAGCAAAACATGAGTATAGATATATGGAATTATTCAGATTTTTCCTCCAGAATCTAACTTTTGTTCTTAAATGTTTTCAATCCTAAAAATGTGTTTGTGCTGCTCTCTACTGGGAATGCAGCAGAACTGCATTTCAAAGATAGAAGCTGTAATACTTTAGGGCAAGACTCACTTTTATTCACTATTTTAAAACCTGTCTCCTGAGGCTCATCTTTAATATAACTTGATTATATTTTAACAGAATTATAATTAGTTTACTATCACTTCAGAATAAAAAGTTTACGGTCTTAGCTTTTGAATTTTTAAAAGAAAAAAATAAGTGTTGAGACAAACGCTAAATTAAGTTTTGCTACCAAATGATAAAGAAAATTCAAATGAGAGGAATACATATACACATATACTCAGGTATTACTAGCGCCAAGTGTAATTTTTTTTCACAAGGAACAATGCAATCTCACTTTTCATTTGAGTTATATATTAAAGCATTAAAGGTCTATGACAGTCCAAAGTGTAAGGCAACTGATTATTCACTGGAATCCTTCTTAGTCAAAGAACAGATCATCAGGTAGACATTTGTATATGTCTCAAATGAAGTAACACTATAAAGACCCTTCTAGAGGCCGGGCATGGTGGCTCAAGCCTATAATCCCAGCACTTCAGGAGGCCAGACGGACAGATCACCTGAGCTCAGGAGTTCGAGACCAGCCTGGCCAACATGACGAAACCCCATCTCCACTAAAAATATAAAAATTAGCCAGGTATAGTGGCACATGTCTGTAGGTCCAGCCACTAGGGAGGCTGAGGCAGAAGAATCCCTTGAACCCAGGAGGCAGAGGCTGCAATGAGCCAAGATTAGGCCATTGGATGTGACAAAGTGACACTCTGTCTCAAAAAAAAAAATATTTTTTTCAAAAGGACCCTTCTGCATAAGCAACTTAAGGTAACAGAAATCCTGAGTGCTAGCAATAAAAATTCTCTTGGGAATTTGTACTCACTTTCTACATATCCCAGTTTATGAACTGCCTCATATTCTACAAGCTAACATAAGCTGCCTGTAGTATTCCTGAGCGGCAACTTGCAGGAGTTTTGTCGTTGTTGTTACTGGCAGAAATTACCAAACTAATAAAATATGTTTTCCTGAAGAAATTCTTTGAAAAGTAAACTTTGAATATCAAATTCAGTACCTCTCAAGGACTTATGTTTGCATGTTTTTATACTCTGACTTGAAAAATTTAGCCTTCACTGAGCTTCTACCACATGCTACAGAACTTTAAATATAACTACTCCTCAGAACTCTAAAATAATAAAAATCATTATTCCTTCTTTAAATGAGGACCTTGATAAAGAAAAAGATTTGAATGACTTGCCCAACTCCTACAGCCAGGATTCAAACTCATGTTAGTTCATTATACTAAAGCATTAAGACTAGTGAGAATTGCAGGCTACAGCAATTACCTGTCAATGTTCCAGGAATGTAACACTACCTCTTAAAAAATATAAAACTGAGAATTGCCAACCAAATATCAAGGGACTTCTATCTCTCTACTATTCTGAGTTCCTGGTTTTAGAACAATCAAGGAATAGAGCCCTGGTAGTAAAATAAAGGCCCTAGCTGAACTACATCCTCAGGTGCCCATCAGCATTCATTGTGTCGGCCAGTGATGGGAAGCAACTGATAGCAAGGGGAATCTGAAAAAATGGCATAACTGGAACAGCTGAGTAACATAAAACTATTCTCTATTTCACAGAGATAAATTCTGCTATAAAGCTTTAGAATATGCATTAACAACCCACATCTGACTTAATTTCTGAATCTGTAGGCCATTCAAATACTAAATGTAGTCTTTCTTCAAATTTGACAAAAGTGGCAACAATTCTATTTTATAAAAACATACCAGCAAGCGGTGGCTTATGTGAGTGAAGAGTACAGGGCACGCTGACAATTAGTTTGTGGTCTGGAATAGGGATCACATTTCCATCTGCATTCCTAATTAAACAGAACAAGAAAGTAAACTATTTTAAAAACAATTTTTTATATATAAGCCACAGCTGCATTGATTTTTGTTCTCTTTCTGTATCTGATTTTAAAACAAATTTTATAATCAACGAAAGAAATTAACAATTTAAGTATTGAGACATTCCCACAATTTCCTTTTCTGTAATAATGACAATTACACACTAGATAAAATATAGTTTCCTGTGCCATACCATTCATTCCTTTCTGCAGTGGGCCATCTTCAGATTTTCAAAAACATAAAACTTTTTAAAAATCAATGATTACTAAGCTAATCATTTTCAAAAGCCTAAAAATTAATACATGTATACAATTTTGAAAAATTGCCTTTCCTACCTCAATGGTAGAGCAGTTTTTTCTTGAACTCTCCCCAGTATGAGACCTTCATAAGGCTTTTTGTGTGGAGAATCTAATGGGAACACAAACTCTCCTGAACTGGTTATCTGATAGGAAGAAGCCAACAAAAGAGGTTTATTTTTTCCCATTACTATAGAGCTTCCACACATACATACACACACAAAAGAAATTAAACCTCCAGGCTAGTGCTGTTCAGTAAAAATATTATGTGAGCCACATATATCATTTTTAATTTTCTAATAGAAACACCAAAAGAAGTAAAAACAAAACGCAATGAAATCAAATTTAATTATATATTTAATTCAATCTAACATACCTGAAATACTATCATTTCAATATGTAATCAATTTAAAAAGTTATTGAGATATGTTACATTCTTTCTTTTGTACTACGCCTAAAATCCGAAGTGTATTTTATACTTAACAGTACATTTCAGTTTGGACTAGCCACATTTCAAGTGCTGAAGTCTCACATGTGGTAGTGGCTATCATATTAGACAGTGCTTCTATAACAGATTTTTTTTTTAATATCACATAAATATTTCAAATACAACTTCATTGTCATCTTGCACATAAAACAATCCCTACTCTTAACTAAAATTGATTCCTGGAAAGCATGTCATCAGTAATTTATTTATTAGTCATGCAAATGAACTAATAAATGAATTACTAATGAATGAACTAATAAATGAATTAGCAATATGACTAAGTAGATCATAATAATGTATTTCCCTTTAGTCATAGGAAATAGTATCATTAAACATTGTCAAAGCGAAAATTAATAAGGATAGAAACTAGGTTGTTGATAGACAATATCTAGTCCAGAGACTGGCCCTTGGCATTATAAATTCAGAAATTTAATTTCATCATTTCACCCTGGAATGATCATATGCTCAAAGATTCATTTAAGCTACTCAAAATCAAAACATAATTTAAAATATCAATTCATTAATTTACCATGGGAATATATATTATCACTGTCAATCTGTAAAACTCTTTATCCTATATCAATGTACCTAAACAACCAAATCAGTAATCAGAAAGTCTTTTACCTCCTCTAGTGCCAATCAGACAGCATCTCCTACAAAAAGTGCGGTATAAACACTGGCACATTGGGTGGCCTTTATAGTCAAGGCACATTACTCCTCCTATCATAACAATATGTAAAATTACCTAATAAATGCCTAGTATAACATAATATGTGATATTTATGATTTAAATACTGGTCTTTATCATACCATATCTCAGAACTGATTACTACTACAGATCAACAATCTTAGTTTTCATGTATTAACATTTTACGGGGTTTGATTTCAAAAGGTAACATCCTCCTGACTTTGGCCCTAGTTTCTGATTATAAAAGAACTATCATAATAGGCAAGATGGAATGGGGTATTATACTCCCATCATGGTCCTACACCAAATCAACCAACACTAGGACCAAACTACAGCATGAAAACAAAGGTACAACTGTAAGTCTTTGTCAAGTCCCATAACATGGGTATAAATAATCAATATACAGTTGTCCCCTCTTATCCACAGTTTCACTTTCCATGGTTTTAGGTACTCATGGTCAACCGCAGTCTGGAGATAGGTAAGTACAGTACAGTAAGGTATTTTGAGGAGAGACCATATTCATATAACATTTATAGTATATTGCTATAATATTCTATTTTATTATTAGTTATTATTGTTTATCTCTTTGTAATTTATAAATTAAACTTTCTCATAGGTATGTATGTATAGAAAAAAAATTTGTATATGGGGTTCATCCATGGTTTCAGGCATCCATTATAAGTCCTGGAATGTATCCTCTACAGATGAGGAGGAACTACTATACACAGCTTTTAGAAGATATTCCAGTAGATGAAAAAGTATACACAAAGCCATAAAAAGTATAACACTACTGTGTCAAAAATGAATATGCTTGTGATATAAACATCAAACACTGAAATAATAGCTTGGCTTATCTTTTCAAAATTTAGGAAGGTTTTTACAGAAATCATCTAAATAGCCAATGCATCTTTAAAAGGAAGCCCGATGAACTCTAAACTGATGCCTTATTCTTCTGTATTTTTTGGCAATCTTATACCCTGCAGAGATATTAAAGATCATTCTTTAATGATTCGAACCAATTCTAGAGTTCGAATCATTTCTTTCAAAAATATGGAGAGCGGCACAAAAGGCACTGAGGACCTAAGCTAAGATTTAGAGCATAAAAGGTTCTTGGTTCTGGCATCTTCCCACCCCCTCTACAATGGGTTACTTTGCTATTCCTCGCCCTCATCCCCCATAAATTAAGAAAAAGAAATCACAAAGGGTGGTTGAAACTGTGGGCATATAAAGGGAAAGAAGATGAAGGTTTAAGACTATTTCTGTGTTTGTGATATATAATTCCCCAAAGGTTTTGTCGTCTTTTTAACTACAGACATCATCAGAGCTTTTACAAATTTCATCCTGATATCATCCTTAGTGATTCCCCAAAGCCAGCAGTTTGAGGCCCCATTACAAAAAGACATACAAACAAATAGCCTTGAGAATAAAAATATAAAAGTGTTAAGCAGCAAAGCAAAAGTCGGAATTAGCCCATGTTGAAGGAGCAGAGCAGAGACATGTTGAGCATTACAAAGTAGATGCTACATTTATGTGACTTCTATCAAGCTGTATTAACAAATAAGCTAACTTCTGAACTTACTTTCACCCAGTGCCATTCAGCAACTATCTCCACAGACCAAGAGGGATAAAGTTCTTCCTTTATAAAACGTAGATGCTTCTGTCTATTGGTCACCCAAGTAACAACAAGACAGTTTGGAGCAGCCAATTTAGGGATTGGTATTTGTTTTATTTGCAGAGGTGACAAATAACTGTACCTAAAAATAAAAAAAAAAAAGGATGAGCAAAATTCACTGCAAAAAAGGAAAATAAGCAGGGAGAAGACACGCATAACACTAACTCCACAAATGCAAAGCTCTTATAGCTATTTATTTGTGTAGCAAAACATAGAGCCGCAGTGACACCCAGTGGACACATTATTACACCCAAGTCAAAAATCACTTTTTTTTTTTTTTTACTAGTTTAAAATTGTCAGGCTGTATTTTTTTTTGGTCACTTCTAAATACATCACATTTCAGTAATTTTACTATTTACAATATTTTTTCTCTAATTCAAAATTAAGCAAATATTGTTGTTTAGGTCCCATACTCTATGTTACACAGGAGCCCCGTCACAGTGAGTCTTGAAATGAGTCTTCCAATAACCTAAGTCAAACCCTACAAGCCTTACCTGGCACCAAATCGGTGTTGCGAAATTGGTAATGCTAAAGCCAATCTATTCCAATGAAGCTTCTCCTACCCCTAGAACCCTCAAAGCCTACACATAATGCTGGCTCCCTATGTCACCTATCATCTCACCCATCCTCATCTCCACCCCACTGCATTTGTAACCCCCAATCTATCATCTTGCTTGTTGACTTCTCAGTCAATTCCACTGGGTTTTCTGAAGCCCTCATGCTTTCATTTTGTAAAACAAAATCTATAATCTTGTACCTCCTGGCCATAGAGTATAATGTCTAGTTTGTCCTGCTAAAATACTACTTGCTCTACAATATTCAATCAAATGAATATGGCCTTTTCTCCAACATTGAGAGTGAGGGGAGAAGTCATTATTCTCCTGGTTCCCCCGCTGCTTCTAGGCTGTAATTCATCCACCTTTGCAAAAAAAAAAGACCCCTTTCTTTTTGAGAAGTATGCTATCCAGCTTTGTTAGCCTCTACTGTTCCTTATTGAATTCATTTCATCCTCAACATATTCGATAAGGACTTAAGCTCTGAGATCCCTCTACCTCACCAACATAAAACGTGCCATTATTCTGAACAATTTCAAAGCACAATCCATATAATGTACATACCCCAACTATTTTTCACCTAACAAATACAACTGCCTTCATCCCACTTCCATAATCCACTCCAACGCCGTAACCTGGACCCTGTCATCACTCACACTTGCTCCCTCTCTGAAGCCATAAACATCAATCTCTGGTAATAGCATCTTATGCCTCACCTACTCTTTGACCTTATCTATCAGTTTACTCCTGATCATACTTACTCTTCTTCCTTGTGGACCACCAATCGCTTCACTGCCTTCTCACTAGCACTCTCAATTCGCATCCTCCCTTTACCCTTCAACCTCCAGTTCCTGCAAACCTCCAACCTTAAATCAATATCACAATTTTCTTCAACTTGTTTGTACAGGGAAAATCAGGCAGAGAAAATGCAGAACTGACTCACTAAAAGTTTATTAAATCCATTCTTAGGATCTCAAACTACTCATCAATTCCTTTACTTATCCTTAGTCAAGTACCACAAACCCTCACCACTTTTCAGATCCCTTGCCCAAACTCTCTCTTAGCAGATGAAGTTAACTCATACATCAGTAAAACTAAAGGCCACCAAGATCCTTCAGCTACCCAACCCTAACCCCTCTCCTTTATATACTTTTACTGATCTATGTCCATACATTTCCTCTTAAGGGAAATGGCATGATTTCACCTATTAAAGCTTATCCCTCCGATTGTATTCTCTTATTCCCATATACTAGTATCTTGTAATACCAGTTATTCCCCTCCTTCTGTATTTTCAACTTCTCTAGTAGTTCTTTACCATCAACCTATAAATATGATTATCCTGTCTCATTTGAAAAGAAGAAAGATGAAAAAAGGAGAAAGGAGAGAGGGAGAAGAAAAGGAGAGGAAAAGGTGGGGAGGGGAGGAGAAGAGAAAGAAGGGAACAGAGAATACAGAAGAGAAACTCCCTCACTTCCGCCTCCTTTCATCTACAACTAAGCTAAAGACTTATATGCAAGTCCTCTACTTTCTCTCCTTTATTTTATTCCTTAGTTGACTCCAATGAGACTTTTACCGCTATGCCTGCTCTGAAAAAAGTAAATGACTTCCCAATGGCCAAATGGAGCAAACATTGGAATTCAGCTCTAGCATGTGACAACTGTATGTCAGGAACAATCAGTATTTCTTAAAACAAATAGTGCCTGCCACGGTGGCTCACACCTGTAATCACAACACTTTGGGGGGCTGAGGCAGGTGGATCACCTGATATCAGAAGTTCAAGACTAGCCTGGCCAACATGGTGAAACCCCTCTCTAGTTAAAAAAATATATATATATAAATTAGCTGGGTGTGGTGGCAGGCACCTGTAATCCCAGCTACTTGGGAAGTTAAGACAGGTGAATCACTGGAACCCAGGAGGCGGAGGTTGCAGTGAGCCAAAATCACACCATTGCACTCCAGCCTGGACGACACAAGCAAAACTATGTCTCAAAAAAACAAATAAATGAGCAAAAGATTTCAGATCTCAAGCACCCAAGATTCCTGCCATCTAAATAAGTGCTCTTCCAGCAACTAGTATTTCTCATAATCAAAGTGATGAAAAAACTAATTTTGCTACAGTTATCAAGAATGTCAGGTCAAAAATTTGAAGTTACATGATTTCAATAACTGCAGATTTCCTGATTGCCTTAATTTTATTTAATTGGGTTGATTTGTGTGGAGAAGGAAGAAACATTCAGATCGCCTCTTCTAGCTCTAATTTCAGGGAAATCACTGAGCAAATCCTAAAATATTCATCTTTATGTGATGCAATGGAAAGTACAGACACACAAAAAAAAAAAAAAGAAAGAAAGAAAAAAACAGAAAGAAAATGGCAAAGATGTGGAAAAACTAGACCCCTCATTGCTGGTGGGAATATAAAATGGTACAGGCACTGCAGAAAATAGTTTGATAGCTCCCCAAAAATTTAAAGATAAAATTACATGGTGCAGTAATTCTACTCCAGGTACACACCCAAGAGAACTATTAATAAAAATATATTGCCCAGAGCTAGGCAAACTGCAAAGTTTGAAGGCCCAGTCCTCAAGACACCTCACTTCTAAAACCAACTGCAGGTGTAGGTAGTTTCCAAAACCACTTTCAGGTTCAAAAATTTGCTAAACTAACAAAACTTACTGAAAACTTTTATATTCACAGTTACAATTTCTCAGGGGTAAGGATACAAATTAAAATCAGCCAAAGGAAGAGAGTTAAAAGAAACTAAAGAGAAATGACAACTGAACATGTATAATCTAATCCAGAATTTTATTTGCTACAAATGACATTTCTGGGACAATCAGTGTAACCTGAATAATGTCTGTACATAATAGTGCCAAATCAATAAGAATATTATATCAATGTTGATTACCTATTTTGATAATTACATTATTTAAGACAATTATCTTTGTTTTTAGGAAATCAATACTGAAATATTCAAGGGTAACTTACCCTTTCTCTTAATTAATTCATTCTCAAGTAACTCACAAAAAAATTATATATACATATAGATATCTACACACACAGAATACAGATACATGAATTCTTTCTATGATTCTTGCAACTTTTTTTTTTTTTTTTTTTTTGAGACGGAGTTTCACTCATGTTACCCAGGCTGGAGTGCAATGGCGTGATCTCGGCTCACCGCAACCTCTGCCTCCTGGGTTCAGGCAATTCTCCTGCCTCAGCCTCCTGAGTAGCTGGGATTACAGGCACGCACCACCATGCCCAGCCAATTTTTTTGCATTTTTAGTAGAGACGGGGTTTCACCTTGTTGACCAGGATGGTCTCAATCTCTTGACCTCGTGATCCACCCGCCTCGGCCTCCCAAAGTGCTGGGATTACAGGCTTGAGCCACCGCGCCTGGCCTGCAACTTTAAAAGAAACAAATCTGGTCAGGCATGATGGCTCACATATGTAATCTAAGCACTATGGGAGGCTGAGGCAGGAGGATCACTTAAGACTAGGAGTTCAAGACCAACCTGGGTAACATAGCAAGACACTGTCTCTACAAAAAAAGTTTTTTAAATAGCCAAGTAGAGTGGCATGCACTTGTAGTCCCAGAAACTCAGGAAGCTGAGGCAGGAGGCACATCTGAACCAGGAGTTTGAGGCTGCAATGAGCCTTGATTGCACCACTGTATTCCAGCCTGGGCAACAGAGTGAGACCCTATCTCCAAAAAAAAAAGAAGAAGAAAAACAAATCATACTGCCATAACTCATAAACAAGAAGCATAAGAAAGGTGAGGATCACTGTGGAGAAGAAATTTCATATAAAGTTTAAGTCAAGGAAATTGGAATTTTTCAGTCTAGAAAATTGAAAAGTGAGAGAAAATGTAACTGAAGACATTCATTAGAATTAAAAGAGAAAAAAAATTTAATGCTACTGATATGGAAGAAGGCAAATATGTTGTCCTTTGGTGTTAACAGAAACAGCCCTAAACTGCTTCTGATGATTAATAAATGCACTACTTTTGACATTCTTACACCTATACATAGTTACAGTTCAAGAGAATTAACTAGTTAAAGAAATAAAAATGTTAAAACCATTAAAAGCAAGATAACCTATAGCATAAAGTCAATATTATATTAAACTATAATGTACAAAGGACTACAGTTTTTTATAAAGCATTTCTAATAGTTAATTCACTTCCACTTACCTATTACTTCTTTTAACTGATTTGTTCTGCCAAGGTGGATCTATCACAATTACATCAAATGTTTTCCTATCTGAAAACAAAGATACAATTTTAGAAAATACCTTCTCTATGTGATAACTTCAAAAACATGTTCTTCAAAACTCAAGTGATTTCACTATAGACATGAATATAATGAAACACACCAAAAGAATCTATATATAGCATTTATTCAAACAGAGTAATTTATCATTAAATATTAGATGTTTCCCTTACCTCTAGAATTGTATCATAATTTCACCTATTGCAATTTTTGCAGAGACCACCTGCAGATGACTATAGCTCAGTAAGCTGAACACTAATGATTTGTAAATTTCCTATGCATCTTGGCAGCCATATTAACATAGTCCTAAGAAATCTAGGTCTTTTTTTTTTTTTTTTTACTTTTTATTTTAAAAATAATTTCAGCCTTTATAGCTGATGTATTGACCATAATAAAACTTCCCCAATTATTTACTAATGTACTTTTTCTGACCCAGGATCAAAGCCAGGGTCAAACATTGCAATTAGCTGCCATCCCTCCAAACTCTCCTCCAACCCCGAAAAGCTCCTTGGTCTTTCTTCATCTTTTACGATTTTGAAACTTTTAAATGCTACCAATTGTTGTATAGGATGTCCCTCAATCTGGGTCTAGTATTATCTCATGATTAAATTTAGATTATTTATTTTTGGCAAGAGGACCGCCAAAGTAATGCCTGCCCTGCCCTGTAAGTACAACATGTCAAGAAGTAAAGGATGTCAAAAAGTCTTTGGTTAAAGTGTTGTCTGCCGAGTTTCTCCAGTTTTTCCCTTGTAATTAACAAGTATCTTGAGAGGAGATACTTTAAGACCATGAAAATATCCTGTTTCATCTTTTCACCCACTACTTTGACATCCAATTACTATGATGTTTGTCAAATGGAAATTCTCCAGATCCATCATTCCATTCATTTATTAATAGGAATTTTATTGTAAGGAAGAGCTGTCCCTTCCCCCCCTTTTATAAACACAGGTCTGTTTTTATAAATGTGTACAGTTTCATAAGTAATCAAAAGAATGCAAATTAAAATAAGGAGGTAACACTTTTTAAGCTATTAGAGTAACAAAGATCAAAAAGAAGAGAAAAAATGTTCATGCATAGCATGGTTTTCTCATTAATTTGTTATCCTGTCATTTACTCTGAAGAACTTATGGCACTGCTAAATGGATAACCACTCATGTGTAAGATGGCTTAATAGCAATTAAAAGAAGCTTTTCATTAGTAAGTTGTGTTGTAGTTGCTCAATAACTTAAAATTTTGCTATAAAATGTTCAAACAACAATAAACAGCACATTAAATTCAATTTTATCAATATACCTCAAAATGACCCTAGGAAGCAGGTATTATCATATCTATTTTATAAATTAGGAGACTGGGGCTCAGTTTTGTGAAATGAGTACCCCAAAGACTCATAGTTAAATAAGTTTCAGAATCTATTGCCAAATACAGGTCTGTGTGACTGTGGACTTCAATACTTAAAATTTTTAACTTTGTACAGGAAAAAGTTTCAAGAAATTTTAGACAATGAGCTTGAACATTAGCTTAAAATGTATCCTTTATACAAAGCTAGGAATAATTTGGGAATTGATATTCATAACTGAAGTGTTTCTACTTTGCTATGAAAAAAGTTAAGTGATTTGGTGAAACACAACTGTATAGTGAATCACAACTGTATAGTGAATCTCAACTGTATACTGAATTCCTCAGTACAGAGAAATAACTATATTTGTTCTCTTAGAAACTAGTTTTTGACTCTTTATTCATAATAAAAACTTATTTTTTTAAAAAAGCAAAAGTCAGCCCCTTAAAATTGAATCTAAAAGAAAAATAACATGAGGAAGTGTTTGCCCTATCCTCATAAACAGTGACCCATATTCAAATTTCAGACTAGCTCTTAACTTCTGAGCCCACAAAAAATTATATTTTCCTAATAACAAACACAATAATTACTTACAGTTCAGAAGTGGTTGCATACAAGAAATGTCAGATAAAAGAAAACTGCTTTTCGGTGGCAGCAGGTATTTCTGTCCCATTAAAGTAATCACTTTTGTAAAGCTAGAGTTGTTTTCAACAACTCGTAAAAATAAATCTTGTTCAGTAACGGATGTACCCTCTTCCAACAATTGCAATGTCTGATGTTCCATTTCATTCAGAGAAGGCAAATGCTTTGCCATTTCACATAATTCTGACAAATTGCAGGTGTCAAGTCGTAAAATAATGGGCTTACTACACTTGTCCTGTTTTTCAAAAAGTGGATTAAGAAAACCACTTTTGAGACCTTCTTGGATTAACTGTAGAGATCCATCCAAAATCAGCTTCCTCATCTATAAGAGAATTTTAAGTACATTTAAAGAACATTGACATTAAAAGAATTTTCTAAATAAAATTCCTACTGTGCTTTGAATATATTTGCATTTATAAATTGAAATCAACATCATTAATGCTTACAGTAACATAATTTTGTACTACAATGAAAAGATAAGAATGTACAAGCATGCTTTTGAACTATTTCCTAATTGTAGAGTGAAACAACCCTCACAAATTCACTGAAAACAAAATAACCAAACAATATATATAAGAAAATATATCCTGACACATGTATCAGGTAAATTTGATCATCTGAATGCTTCTAGAGGAAAATGTAATTTCTAATCTATAGAGATTGCAGGAGGAAATAACTGCTCTTCATTCCTTTGGGAGCAGAAATATATCCAAACATGCTAAGTTACAAAAGGAGGTCTAAGGGCTGACAACCTTACAGTAGAGGTTGTGTGACAGTAGATTACTCCTATATAAGAAAAAATAATAATAATATTAATAATCTATAGGGAGAATTAAGTTTAAATCACAGAAATCAATAAAATGGAAAACATAGTGACAGTAAGGAAAATTAATAAATTAAAAGCTAGTTCTTTGAACATTTGTAAAGCATGTAACCGATAGGGGGTTAATATACAGAATACATAAAGAACTTCTAAAACTCAACAAGAAAAAAAAAGCCCAATTGTAAAATAAACAAAGGATATGAACAGACATTTCTCTCAAGAAAATATACAAATGGCCAAGAAGCCCATAAAAAGATGTTCAACATTACCAACCATTAGGTAAATACAAATCAAAACCACAATGAGATACCACTCCACACCTACTATGATAATTATTATGAAAAAAGGAAAGTGTTGGCAAGGATGTGGAGAAACTGGAGCCCTTGGGTATTGCAGGTAGGAATGTAAAATGACAGAACCACCATGGAAGGCAGTATGGTGGTTCCTCCAAAAATTAATCATGGAATTACGATAAAATCCAGCAATTCTACTTCTGGGTATATATCCAAAAGAATTAAAAGCAAGAAATGGAATAGGTATTTGTACACCTATTTTCAGAGCAGCATTATTCACCATAGCCAAAGGTAGAAACTACCCAAATGTCCATAAACAAATGGATAAACAAAATGTGATATTTACATAAAATAGAATATTTTTCAGCCTTAAAAAAGGAAGAAAATTCTAATATATGCTACATGGATGAACCTTGAACACACAGTGAAGTAAGCCAGATGCAAAAGGACAACTATTATGTGATTTCACTTATATGAGGTACCTAGAATAAGCAAATTCAGAGACAGAAAGTAGAAACTAGTTACCAGGCAGCAGAGGAAAGGGGAGTGGGGAGTTACTATCTAATGGGTAGAGTTTCAGTTTGGAATAATGAACACGTTCTGAAGATGGATGCCGTAATGATGGCATGACACTCTGAATGTACTGCCACTAAATTGTACATCTAAAAATGGTTAAAACAGTAAATTTTATTATATGTATATTTTACCTATTAAGAAAACCCAAATTACCAATAAAAGGAATGAAAAAGTTATTATTACTACAGATCCTACAGACATTAAAAGATAGCATAAGATAATATGACTTCGTGACAACTAGGATGAAATGAACACTTTTTTTTTTTTTTTTTTGAGAGGGAGTCTCTCTCTGTCGCATAGGCTGGAATAGAGTGGCACAATCTCGGCGGCTCACTGCAACCTCCACCTCCCAGGTTGCAACAATTCTCCTGCCTCAGCCTCCCAAGTAAGCTAGGGTTACAGGCACCCATCATCACGTCTTGCTAATTTTTTTGTATTTTTAGTACAGATGGGATTTCATCATGTTGGCCAGACTGGTCTCCAATTCCTAACCTCAAGTGATCTGCCCGCCTCAGCCTCCCAAAGTGCTGCAATTAAGGCATGAGCCACCATGTCCGGCCTGAAATGAACACATTTCTTAGAAAATAAAACTTGCAAAAACTGACACCAACAGAAACAGAAAACCTGAAAATCCTGTTCTCTATTTAAAAATCTGATTTTGTTACTAAAAACCTTCCCCCATGACAATTAAAACACAGGACATCAGAATTTACAGGATGTTCCTAACACAGCGTCCAGAGAAAAAGTGTCACCATTAAATTCTTCTATCGATAAATAAAAAAGAAAAGAGGAAAAAGTAAAGTTGCCAAAAAAGTATCCCCCACAAAAAGCAACACACTGAGATGGTTACAAAGGGGGGGTTCTATCAAACTTTATCAAGCTCTGAAAGAACAAATTATCCCAGTTCTTTTTCCATTGCTCCAGAAAATTGGAAAGTAAAAAGGAAAACTTCTAGCTTTCAACACTAGAGGGCTAAGCTCTCCAGTGTGTAAACATCCTACATATTTACATATATAGTTATATATATAAGGCCAAAGAAGTAAATATATCAGACCAATCTCACTTATGAATGTCCCAAATCAAATATTAGCAAATAAAATCCTGTAGAACATTTTAAAAATAGTAACGACGGGAAGTCCACGGCCGGGAAAATGGCGAACGGGACAACAGGAGAGAAGCCTGAAAAGTCGCAGCAAGCTGGAGCCGCCAGAGGACCTGAAGCAGCAGCAGAAAAACCTGTGAAAACGAAGTCTGTTTCTTCCAATAACAGAGGGGAAAGTTCCAGTCGCAGCGCTGAGAAGAGATCAGCTGAAAAAGAAGCTGCAGACCTCCCAACAAAGCCTACAAAGATCTCCAAGTTTGGATTTGCCATAGGTAGTCAGACGACAAAGAAAGCATCAGCCATATCCATCCAACTTGGATCAAGTAAGTCTAAAGAAACTGTTCCTACTCTTGCTCCAATAACACTTTCAGTAGCAGCAGCTTCTAATGAAGATAGTGAACCAAAAGAAATGCCTCTGGAAGCAAAGATGAGGATGAAGAATATTAGAGAGGATACACCATCATCAGCTGGACCAAACTCCATCTAGGAAAGCATGGGTTTTCTGATAACAAGAAGCTATGGGAGCGAAATATAAAATCTTATCTTGGAAATGTCCATGACTAAGACAAATAAATGATGTTTTGAAATTGGGGTGTGGGGTGGGTGTAAAGTTAAAAGGAAGTTTCCCTCTTTAAAGAATGGTATAAGACTATCTTTGGAGCCGCTTTTTTTTTTTTTTTTTTTTTTTTTTTTTTTTAAAAAATGGGTAAACAAAAAAAAAAAAAAAAAAGAAAAATCTATTCATTCTCCATATATGCCTATTATGTTATTTCCAGCTCAACTGAAAACCAGTATTATGCTTAATGATGAAATTATCCCCCTTGTCAAGGAAAAGAAACTGTGCTCACATATATTATTTATGTTTATTATGCACACAAATATTATTTAATATTATATTGTAATTTCCACCTTATAAAATTAGAGAAGAAATCAGAAATATAATATTTGGAAAGGTATAAGTAACATTACTACTATTTGAGCTCACACCTGTAATCCCAGCACTTTGGGTGGCAGAGACAGGTGGATCACCTGAGGTCAGGAATTCGAGACCAGCCTGGTCAACATGGTGAAACCACGTCTCTACTAAAAATATATATATAAATTAGCCATGCATGGTGGCAGGCACCTGTAATCCCAGCTACTTGGGAGGCTGAGGCAGGAAAATCGCTTGAACCCAGGAGGCAGAGGTTGTAGTGAGCCAAAATCATGCCATTGCACTCCGGCCTAGGGGACAAGAGTGAGACTTTGTCTAAAATAAAAGAGTTATATATCTAGAAAATCCAAGAGATACAATAACAAAAAAATTACTACAACTTAAAAAGAAACCTACACGGCCTTTATAAAGAAAAGTTTACACAACGACACAACAAAACATGAACAAAGGAAAAATACCTTCATGTTTTAGGGCAGAATCACCAACATCTTAAAGATGTCAACACGTGCCCTAATTTAATTTATAAATTTAACTTGATGTCATAGCAATAGGTTTTCTAACTAGATATTATTGATCCTAAAATCCATATGGGGAAAGAAAACAAATGTATTAAAAAGAGGAGTGATGAGAAAGGCATGGGGGTGGGCAGAACTGGCACTACTGGACAGTCAAACCTCCAAACCTCAAGACACTAGCAAATAGAGACAAATAAGTCTTAAAGTCCAGAGATAAAGTCAAATACATATGTGAATTTTACATAGTTAGCATCTCACATCAACAAGGAAAAACTCAAATGATGGTGGAACAAATGAACGGGTAGTCATCTGGAAAAAAAAAAAAAAGTTGGTTTCATACCTCATACTTTATCCAGAACTCTAAATAGATCAATGATATACATGTAAAATAAAATGACAGATGGTCCAGAAGAAAGAAAAAAATCATTTTAAAACCTTGCAGAAGGAATATCTCTCCAATTATGACTCCAAAACTCCAGAAATCATAAGGGGAAAAAATTGATAAATTCAGCCAAATAAAATATAATATTGTCTGTGTGGTAAAAACAAACAACCCATCATAATTAAAACTTAAACGAAAAACTGAAGAAAATATATCTGCAGTTTGTATCACAGACAAAGAACAAATTCCCTAGCATATAAAGAGCTCTGGCCAGGCACAGAGGCTCATGCCTGTACTCCTAGCACTTTGGGAGGCCAAGGCAGGAGGATCGATGGAGCCCAGCAGTTCAAGACCAGCCTGAGAAACACAGGGAGACCCCCATCTCTACAAAACAATTTCAAAAATTAGCCAGGCACGGTGGCATGCTTTTAGTTCCAGCTCTTCAGGAGGCTGAAGTGGGAAGATCACTTGAGCCTGGGAGGTCAAGGCTGCAGTTAGCCACGATCACACTACTGCAATCCAGCCTGGGTGACAGAGCAAGACTTAGTCTCCAAACAAACAAACAAATAAATAGAGTTCCTATAAATCACTAAGGAAAAGAACAACCCAACTTTTTAAATGTGTGAAAGAAACAAACAGTTCCCCGCAAAAGAAATATAAATGGTTTTTAGAACATATGTAAAAATACCTACTGCACTCATAAAAAGAGAAATGCAAATTAAAACCATACTGAAATACTATTTTTTTAACCTATCAGATTGGCAAAGATATAAACATTGATAACACACCATGATGGTAAAGATGTGGGGAAACAGGTAAATTATACATTTCTCTTTGTCAAAAAGCTGATAAAAACTTTACAGTGGCAATTTGGCAGTATCCTCTGACCCAGCAATTCAATTTCTTGAAATTTATCCTGCAGATACACATATACATGTGGAAAGTGGCAGGTGCATATACACCTAACACCAGCAGTTAAAGATTAAGTAAATAAAATTATGAAACACAATGAGAAAGTATGTTTAAGTTAAGGGAAGAAAAGAAGGTGCAAACGTGTTTGAAATATGCTACCATCTAAACAAAAAAGGGGGGAGAATGTATATGCACTGTCCTCTACATACTGTACAACAACATTGGACAGATATACTGGGAAGAGGAAACTGGTGACTGACGGATAGAGATGAAAGGAAGACTTCACTGTATATTTCGTGCACATTTTAAACTTTATTATATAAATGTATTATCAATCCAAAACAAGTAAGTTTAATATTAAATAAACTAAATAGTTAATCTGATCATTCCATGCACTTTCAAAAGCTTCCCACTAGCCAGGCATGGTGGTGCATGCCTGTAGTTTCAGCTACTTGGGAGGCTGAGGCAGGAAGATCACTTAAGCCCAAGAGTTTAAGGTTGCCATCAGCTATGACTGTATTACTGAACTCCAACCTGGGTGAGACAGCAAGACTCTGCCTCTTTAAAAAAAAAAAATTAGGTGTCATGAGTGGAAGAAAAAATAAGAAAAATAAAAAAAGCTTCCCACTACCCTTTAAATTACATCTAAATGTCATATGATGGGCTTATAAAAATCTTACCTCATCCACTTATTTTTACTTCCCACACTTTTATCTCTAGCAACTCTCTTATTTGCATTCCACAGTCCAGTCATCCTGAACCTTTTCCAGTTCCTTCAACAAGCGCTTTTCCATCTTGCTTCTGAACTTAGCAAATGCTATTATTTCTAAACCTAGAACACTCTTCATCAACATCTTCATATGCTTAAGGCCTACTGTAATGGCTAGCTTAAGCAAAATTACTGCCTGCATAGAACTGTCCTTGATACTCCATCCTCAAGCCTGAGTTGAAGATCTGTCCTGTATGCCACTATAGTGTCCTAGAATTCTCCTATGATAGTGCTTTTTACACTACCTAGTAGTTTAATTCAACTGTCTGTGTTCCTCAAGAAAAATCACAAAATCATAAGGATTATATCTATCTCAACTTCTAATGAAGTCATGGAGCTGACATGGTATCTGGGATATAGCTGGCATTCAATGAATATTTGTCAGTAAATTCAATTAATTTAATTAATGAGTAAATGGAGAAATGTATAGATGAATAGATAGGAAGGAAGGAGGGGCACACAGATAAGACAGATTCAGGGAAGAAAATAAGGCAAGTTACATTCCAGGTTTTTTCTTAATACATGTTCCTTAAAGTCACCTTTACATTTTAGTTATTAATAGTCTTTGTGCCAACCCTTCTAATAGTTAATTCCTGAATACTATATCACAGCAAATAAGACTCTAATTTTTGATATTGTTAATTAGCAATAAAAGGGCCATATATCATCTTCATTTAAATTTGTTACAGAAACTAAAAGGGCTCTAAATCTGATTCAACAAATATTCTGTCCTACTACTTTTTAAGAGTTTGATTCCATTCTGCAGCATGTTTCATAATTTCTATTTATGATTAACACTCACAAGTATTTAGCAATTAGAATACACATGAATTCATTAATGCCTGTAATCCTAGCACTTTGAGAGACCAAGGCAGGTGGATTACCTGAGGTCAGGAGTTCGAGATCAGCCTGACCAACATGAAGAAAACCTGTCCCTACTAAAAAAAAGAAAAAAAAAAAAAATATATATATATATATACACACACACACGTACATGAATTCAAGAAATTCTATTCTTTAATTTTATGTAAACTTTAAAATGAAAGTAAATGTTATTAATCTTTTTTATAGATATCAATACCCTGGATTTTTCTGATATTTCTGCAGTTAACCTTGCAAGTGGTATTTCCATAAAATAGGTATATTTCCAAAACTAACAGAGTAAACTTCTCATATTGAGGGATTAACATTTGTGTATTCAGCTGTTTTCCAAACATTTAAAATCCAATGTGTTTACGAAAACCACAGTAAGATACCACTTTACATCCATCAGAATGGCTATGATCAAAAAAAAAGGGGGCAGAGGCTACGTACAGTGGCTCATGCCTGTATTTCCAGCACTTTGTGAGGCCAAGGCAGGAGGACGGCTTGTGCCCAGGAGTTCGAGACTAGCCTGGGCAACATAGTAAGACCTTATCTCTACAAAAAATAAAAAATTAGCTGAGCATGGTGGTATATGCCTGTAGTCCCAGCAACTCAAGAGGCTAAGGCAAGAGGATCACTTGAGCCCAAGAGTTCAAAGCTGCAGTGAGCCATGACTGCATCACTGCACTCCAGCAGACAACAGAGTGATACCCTGTCTCAAAAAAAAAAAAAAAAAAAAAAAAAAAAAGTTAAACATAAAAGCTATATATAATCCAACAATTCTACTTCTGGGTATATACCTGAAAAAAATAGTGACTCAAACAAACACTTGTACACCAATGTTTACAGAAACATTATTCATATTAGCCAAAATGTGGAAATAGCCTAAGTGACCATGAACAAATAAATGAATAAACAAAATGTGGTATATACAAACAATGAAATACTATTCAGCCTTAAAAAGAAAGGAAATTCTGATAAATACTACAACATGGATGAACCTTGAAGACATTATGCTAAGTGAAATTAGCCAGATACAAAAAGATAAACATTGTATCATTCCACTTATATGAAATACCTACTATAGGCAAATTCACAGGGACAGTGAGCAGAATAAAGGATACCAGTGGCTGGGGGACAGTGAAAATGGGGAGTTATTATATAATGGTAGAGTTCCAGTTTGGGATGATGAAAAAGTACAAGAGATGAACAGCAGTGATGTAGCACAACATTGCAAATGCATTTAATGCCACAGAATTTTACACCTAAAAATGGTTAAAATGGAAAATTTTATGTATATTCTACCACAATTAGAAAGAAAGGGAAAAAACCCAGTGTGTCCTACCATCACATTAATTCAACAAGACAGAAACTGAAATTACCATCCCCCAAGCCAAATTCCAGACTGAATTTTACCATTTCAAAGGTGCTCCATGGGAAAAAAAAAAAAATTAAGTTTAAAATATTTGTGTTCCTTTTGTTTCTTCTCACTTCTTTAACGCTCAGATCTCATTTATCTCTAAGTTCTAGAAACAAATCCTTCACATTACTCATGCTCTCTTCTGATACTATCTTAATATATTGTTTTATCTATAGATAATAGGCTTTTATAATTTCTAAAACCTCTAAACTTTACCAATATAGCATAAGTTTACTTTGTTAAATATTTAAGCTAACAGAAGTATGTGAAGTTTCAATTAAAACAGGTTTAGGCTTGGTGCAGTGACTCACTCCTGTAAAATCCTACCACTTTGGGAGGCTAAGGCTGGCCCACTGCCTGAGCTCAGGAGCTCGAGACCAGCCTGGCCAACATGGTGAAATGATTTCTCTACTAAAAATACAAAAAATTAGCAGAGCATGGTGGTACACGCTTACAATCTCAGCTACTCGGAAAGCCAAGGCATGAGATTGCTTGAACCCAGGAGACCGCTCCACTCTAGCCTGGGCGACAGAGCAAGACTCTTGTCTCAAAAAAAGAAAAAAAAAAAAACAGACAAAACTGGTTTAAACTGTTCATTACTATAAAATTAGCAATAAATCTATTAAGTCCTAAGCCTGATCAAAATTACTGCTTGATTTTGAAAAAAAAGAATCCTTATTTATGTTGTCCATTTATTTTCCACTACTTCACATTAATCTTCCAATATGACCAATGAACATTTTACACTTACCTTTCTATGGTATTCCATAGCATCTAATTCACCTTGATTGAAAACAGCAGATCTTTTACGCTTCTAAAGAGCAGATAAATTATAGGAAAAAAATTAATGTTGCCATTAATATTTTGCTTTTTCATTAGCACATTTTGCATGTAGTATATCTCAGTCTTTAAGAGTAATAATTGTCTACTGAGGTGAAAATCAATGCAAAGGGTATGGACTGAGGAGGTAAGCTTTCCCAAATTAAAAAAAAAAAAAAAAAAAAAAAAAAACATAAACAAAATGAATTGTAAAAGGTCACCTCAGCTTTATCTGTTATTAATAAGCACTAGTTCCACATGATAAAGTATAGCACCAGCACCCATGAAATACAAGGAAACTATGACACTGTATGACATTACCAGTGCCATCTATCACTTTATATATGGTATAATTCTTCTCAATTTTCTTCATTCCTGAGAAGAGGAACTAGCCAGACGCTATGATCAAAAGAAATTCCAATGTAATTATGGCTGATCTGAGGGTTAGGTATGAATAAGATTTATATTAACACTGTTCTATATCTAACAATTCCATAGAAAAGAACACATAAGACCATCCAATACAGAGCAAGGACTTTGTACTTTTTACTGCTGAAATCCCAGTGCTTACCTTGTGTCAAACTCTTAGCAGGCTAACAATAAATGTTTGTTGGCTAAATAAACAAATGGACTTAATATTGTATAATTTGCTTTAGCATATCAGAAGGTGTCATTAAGATTACATTTATGACATATGCTCATCTATTTTTTCCATGTTATGAGAAATTTACCCAACCTAAGAGATTGAACATTACAAATTAATGCCCATACCCTGTAAACTATAAAGTCCTTTACAAAGGCTTCTTATTATCTGAATTACTTATATTACAACATACTATATTACTAAGACCTCAGACAACACTATATATTTTCTTTTGTGTGTGTGACACATAGCAGACGGTCAATAAATATCCGCTGAAAGAAAAAGGGGGCTGGGCACAGTGGCTCATGCCTGTAATCCCAGCACTTTGGGAGGCAGAGGCAGGTGGATCACCTGAGATCAGGAGTTTGAGACCAGCCTGGCCAACAAGGTGAAACACCGTCTCCTCTTAAAATACAAAAAATTGGCCAGTCATGGTGGTTGATGCCTGTAGTCCCAGCTACTTGGGAGGCTGAGACAGGAGAAGTGCCTGAACCTGGGAGGCAGAGGTTTCAGTGAACTGATATCAAACCACTGCACTCCGCCTGGGTGACAGAGACAGACTCTATCTCAAAAAAGGGGGGGATCAGCACATGAACACATAGAGGGGAATAACAGACACTGGGGCCTACTGGAGGGTAGAGGTCAGAGGGTGGGAGGAGGGAAAGGATCAGGACAAATAACTAATGGGTACTAGGCTTAATAACTGGGTGATGAAATAATTTGTACAACAAACCCCTGTGACACAAGTTTACCTATATAACAAACCTACACATGTACCTGTTAAAAGTTAAAAATTAAAATTAAAAAAAAGAAAAATATGCACAAGAATAAAGTCACAATAATAAAAAGTTCTACTTCAGAAAATTTCTTTTCTTTATTACTTTCCGTATTCTAATTTTCAGCAAACTTTCGTATTTAATATCTTTCTTCTCCATTGGATTATAAGATCTATGAGGGAGGGATTATGTCTATCTTGTTTCATCTACTCTGTGTACAGTGGCACATAGAAAGAGCTGAAACATTTGTTTGGTGAGTAATGAATGTTAATCCTATCACTAAAAAAGAAAATGCTGATATAATCTATCTAAAATGGACTTTGTAAAATCACCTCTAAACTCCTGAAAGATACAGAGTATTAAAGCGTAATTAACTTGATCCTGTATGGCATTCCCAAAACTCTACTAAAAGATTGCACCAGTGTGAATATACAAATATATATATACTTTACAAACAGATACACTTACCACAGGAGCTTTCTATTTCGCTAGAAACTTTTAAAAAAATCACCCTTCTTGCAAACTTTATTACATGAGCATATCTCCAAGGGATAGCTCTCTAAACATCTCTTAAAAACCACTGACTGCTACATTCCAACAACTTGACATAGATTTTTTAATAAAATATATAAACACTGCTTATTTTTTTAAGCAAAAGCAGTTGTAAATACATTCAATTAATACAAATGCCTAATTAAGAAAACAGATTTTTGAGGGGGTCTTTGGGTGGAGGGGGTTGTTGGTGTTGTTTTGTTGTCTGGGTTTATTTTCTTTGGTTAATTTACAGAGAATTCACTTCCCAGCCAACTTTGCTTATTTTTTAAATACAATGTAATTTGGTCTTCTAAGAATTGTAGAAGCTAGGAAAGAAGCTACAAATTATTTTGGATATGCTAAAGCCTTTTGGGGTTCTATTGTTTCTTCTTTATACTTAATGAATCACCAGATACTTAAGACATTTAGATAATAAATCTCATTTATGTTTTCTGCAGAAAAATAAGTATTTCTTAAAACTTTCTACCTTCTCAATGATAGAAATGGAGATTTCTTTTTCAACACCATTCATCAGATCTTCCTTTTCGTTACTTTGCTGGCATTCTTTGTGAACAGCTGAAGTTATATAAGGTTTGGTGACATCAAACAATTCAGGTCGAAAAACAAATTTTTGTGTGAACATTTCATAATATCCTCCATCATCATTCTCTGGCTTAGTGGTACAGTCCGAAGCAATAAATGTAGCACACGCTCCAGAGGAGGACACAGAATCCACTTGAAGAGAATCAAAGTAGACAGAAGTAGTGAACTCATTTTTACTGCAACAAGGTTCGTGATGCTGGTGAAGTCGATAGTTTATCTTGTTGATAAAAGAAAGATGATCCAGTAACCACCCAGCTGACAACTGGTGTACCACAGACATTCCCTTCCTTCAAAAAAAACCCTGGTAATTAGGAACTAGAAGTAAAATCCAACTTTCCAGATCAGCTTCTTAAATGTCTTATATTTCAATAAACATATACTTCATACACACAGATAGATTTGATGCACGAGTATGTAAACCAGACAGGCACACTGAAGAGAATTTAGCATTCACAAAATGTTAATATATACAGAAGTTCTAAGAAAATTGCAATGTTTTAATATAAACTTTCTTTTTCATTTCAGAGTTGATAATTCAACATTTTCAGCCAACTTGGCCAAAGGGGGTTAAAACCTGATCTTGTTTCTGGAATTCCAATGGGTCCTCCTGTCTTCCTGGGTCCCACATGACTTCTTGCTTTGTTCCTTGGGTCTAACTAGGTCCACATCTTCCAACTCAGGAGTCATTGAATCCTTAAAAGAACAAAGTGTGCTGTAAAAGCAAAGAACACTATATTACCTATGTGAATTCAGCCTTCTTAATGAGATAAACCTATCTAGAGAGGGGCACAGAATTTCAGAAGGTACGGTTAGCAGGTCAGTCCTCATTTTTTCAAACTGTCATAGTAAGTCTGCCCTACTTAATCACTACTACCAATGGAGTAATAAGTTAAAAAGAAAAAATTTTTCTAGTCAAGTGAAATACAATTTTAACAGCACATCAGAAGCACTAAACCCTAGCAAAACGGCAAGGTTGAGAGTCTGAATCTGTAATTGGTTCTGAGCAATACCCCTTGGATAACTGGGTTTCTCAGAACTAATCTTTTTTTGTAAAGATGGATTACAGTTCTAGATATTGCTTTCTAAATCCAGTGCAGTGGAGAACTTAAGAGGGGACAAAATAAGAAATAAATGAATGCTTAATGGCACAATAAATAATCATAGTATTTAGATTCAAATTTCTAACTCCATGAATGATACTGTATATACATTGGTTTTCATACACAGTTCCTGGTTCACAGCCGCTGTAGCCTTCTTGAGTGCAGGGGTGAAGGTTGAGTTGATCACCAGTGGTCAATGATATAATGAATCATGACTATACAATGAATCTGGGAGAGATGACACTATCTCATGACAGAAATAGTGTCAGAAATGAATCAGAGGGAAGAAGGAGCCCACCTAAGAGTGACAGTGACACAAGATGGCAGCCACCACCGGCTCAGGAGTAGGAATACCTCACAATTTCCAACTGTTGGAAGAACTCGAAGAAGTCTAGCAAGGAGTAAGAGATGGCACAATTAGCAGGAGTCTAGAAGATGATGAAGACATGACACCAAATGGACAGGGATGATAACTGGGCCTCCAAGAACAATTTATGAAAACTGAATACATAGCCTTAAATTAGAATGTGGACCTAAATACTCAGCAGCACTTCCTTTTGTAAAATGTGTAACAAAAATTAACATGGAGTTAACTGTTCTAAAGAAGTGGTGGACTCAAGAGCCATTTCAGTCCTAGCAAACAGCAGAATTCACATAGCATCAAAATTGTCCTGGAAGAGGTTGAACACCTAATGACATCTAAGGAAACCATGAAACTCCCTCAGGAGCCTGATAGACAGTGTTACAGCCATTAGTCAAAAAGAAAAACCACAGGTCCTTTTTCCCACCCCATTAAGCAGTCTTCATTTTCCACAGTAGTAAATTTTCTAGATACATCTTATAGACCCCAAAGTACTAGAAAGGATCCTCCTATTCAAATGAAATTTAACTTAAGATACTGTGAATGATAATAACTTTTTTGTCCATTTGAAATATATAAGTTGTGCTATAACAAATCACTTGTCAAATGACAGGATCAAGAAACTATATTTAAAGTGATTCCCATCATAAATGGTTGGGTACGTTCTAATAAAACTGTGGAAAGACATCACACAATTACCTTGTTGCTCATTACATGGCCTGGGGTCTCTGCCTTCTCCCACTACCGCTCTCCCTGCCTCCCACCCCCACACCATGCAACAGCCCTCTACCCTGGGAGGCTTTAGAGTAGATGTCAATGTCACAGCCTGAGTGTGTGGGCACCTCTGTTTAAGCAATGATGTTCCTTCCAAACCACTGTCCTGACCCCACCTCTTCCACTCCCGCCCTTAGCCAAAGCACAGATTGGCCAAACCGCTCTGCTCCCCTCTGAGACTGGCCTTCTGTGAGGAATTCAGGGCTTTCCCTATATCTCCTCTCCCCAACCTTTATCAAGAGATGCGGCCAGGTGCAGTAGCTCATGTAATCCCAGCACTTTGGGAGGCCAAGACAGGTGGATCACCTGAGCTCAGGAGTTCAAGACCAGCCTGGCCAACAAGGTGAATCCCCATCTCTACTAAAAATACAAAAAAATTAGTCAGGTGTGGTGGCACATACCTGAAATCCCAGCTACTCAGGAGGCTGAGAAAGGAGAACCACTTGAACCCGGGAGGGGGGAGGTTGCAGTGAGCAGAGATCACGCCATTGCACTCCAGCCTGGGTGACAGAGTGAAACTCCGTCTCCAAAAAAAAAAAAAAAAAAAAAAAAAAGGAGAGAGTTGCTGCTCCCACCCCCGTCAAGTCTCTTTTTGCACTGTCACCACCCAACATTTTCCATGACACTTCCTTGCTTTGACCAGCCATAAAGTAAGGTTGGAAGCACATTTATTCACTCTCCACCAGCCTAGGAAATGAATTTTGGGTCCTCAGCCCTGCCATCTTCTGCTGTCATCATCAGCTTTTTAACTCAGGTTTTGATATGGGGAAAAGAACAGTCACCAGGGTAACTCCCCTGGGCTCTCAAGAGTCGTTGGTGGTTAAACCTGGAAAAAGGCCACATGAAGACAACTGTAAGCACACATGAACCTTCTGAATTGTTTTCTTTTCCTTCAATTGTGTTTGCTCTTAAAAATTGAAGTTTTAAACAGGGCTCTCATTTGGTCATCCTTGCAATCCATTGGCGTCTAGCTTAGAATGTGACAACTGGAACCGAAAGAACCTTGAATTTGGTGCATACTTTGGTTTTGGTGCTGCTGCTTCTCAAGATCCTCGGCAGGGACTAAGAAATTGGGCAGCACAGCAGGAATATCAGGAAATTAGCAGGCTTGACTTCCTGGCAAATTGCCGCCAGGACCACTAAAAGCTGAACTATGCCTGTATACGGAAATAAAAGCAATTCTTTGTACTAAAGTTTTCTTTTAATTTTGTATTTGTGTAAAACCACCTTTTGAAGCAGCAACTATATAGTCTGAAAAGCAACTGATGTTTCCATTAATCTTTTCTGGGGTAAACGTTAGTTCTAAGGATTTAACAACCTGTAAGTAAAGTTTAACCTAACAGTATTCCACAAGGAGACTTTTTATTTTCAACCTGTTGCCTAATTTTAATATAATTTTTGTATTAATATAATCTTTGGTTTTTCCCCACCCCCTTCATAGGCAACAGCTGAGATGAAAGGGTCCTGGAATAGCCAGTAAGAGCTAGAAATTCAGACCGGAACATTGAAACTCAGAGCAGAACGGCAACTTGCCCAAAAACAACAATGCTGGTTAATGGCACAATTACTACCAAACCCAAGTATCCAGATTTCCTGGAGCTGTGAGTTCTTCCATTACCACCACTCTCCAGGTACTGGGCAGTGCCTGTTTCTAAAGTCAAACTCAAAGAAGCGAGAAAATTCTATTTTAGCAAAGTGATATACTGTTATTGTGGTTAGTGCACCCCTCTCCTGCGTCTCTGCTTCACATCCACTCCCTCGCCGCCCGTCCCCAACCACTTGGATTCTTGCTAGCTTCTCTCAGGTCAGCCACCACTAGAGGACTGTGAGACTCCCGCAAGTGATCAAATACTAAGCCCGAATTTCGGCGGCAGCCACGCCAACGCGATCCTTGGAGCCCACTGCACCCACTCTGCAGCCCCTCTCCTACCTCACCGCTTCCCTTGTCAGAAAAGCGGACGCTGCCTTCCCAGACTCTCCTCATGAAAACAGCACCCATCTAAATAGTGATCATGAAAAACGTCCCTTTCAGTACACAGAAAAAAAGCTTTCTCCTTCTCTAAGAGTTCACGGGCGCCGCCATGTTGCTTTACGGAAAAACGTTTCCAGCGGGAGGTGGAGTGTTCAGGCCGCTCCTCCGCACTCAGGCTGCCCACAGACCTTCAGAGCTAAATTTAGGGGTCGTACCAGACTTCGTAGGGACAGCTACACTGGCCCACAGACGCCAGTGTCCTGGGAAGAGCGGCTGGGCGGGACCAGCACGCAAAGTTCCGGCAACGAGGCGGTCGCAGAAAAGTTACCTCACGCGTCATGCGTAATGATGTCAGCGCCGGCGGAGATTTTTCAAATTCGAACAGTCTTGGCGGGCAAAGGAAGGACCTGGTGTTTTGATGACTGCTGTCCTGCCTAGCGGATACTTTGCACGGTTTACAGAAATTCGGTCCTTGGGTCGTGTCAGGAAACTGGAAAAAAGGTGACTAATGACATAGGGTTAACTTTGTTTCTGCAGAACCGTTCTGGAGAAAGAAAGTGATGGCGCCAGTGACTTAAGTTTAGAGGTCCTGAGACAATGTTTTGTTGTTTGTTTACTGTTGGGAGAAGCCTTGAGGCCAAAACTGCGTGGCGCTGGTTTCAGGGGGTCGATTAAATTTCTACTAGCAACGATTTTCGAAGGGGAGAGGGGAGGGCCCAGAGAGGAAAAGGGGAAAAATTGAAGGGGACGGAAGCAGATGGACAAGAGAAGACGGGTGGGTTGCGTCTGAATACTACCGTAGCTTCTTAATGGCGGTGTAAGGACTGCGTGTAGAAGTCTTCATCTTAAATCATGAGAGCACATTATAAGTGGAGATTAAACGGGGACGCACAGGTGTGAGTGGAAAAGTTGAATAGATGAAAAAGCGCTCATTGAAGGACAAATAGGCGGCCAAAACGAAGAAGAGTGTAATCAGTGGGAAAGACTAGGGAGTACCCAGAGAAGCAAAAGAATAGCCACCTTCCTGAAAACCAGGGCAGGACCCGAGAAAGCTGAATGCAGAGATGAGACGGGATCAAAAGTTTTGTAAATCATGTGTATCTTAGGAGACAATCTTTTTAGCAGATGTGAAGGGAGTGACCTGTTAATATGCTTTGTAAATGGAGGCAGCCTAGAAACCGTTTTGTGGACCAGATGATTTTTCCTTGTTGAAGGGGAGATTGATGCCAAAAGGGTAGTAATTGAGAAAACAATTGGTTTAAGGATCGAGCCGGAGAGATTGACGTTAGGAAAACAATAGTTTGATTCTCTGAAACCAAAGAAAAGGAAACATTTTTAGGTGAATAAGATAATTTGAGTTAATTTTTTTGTCTTCCTGTTGAAATAGGCACAGCCAACAGCAGTAATGTGGACTAGGGCTTTAGCTACCACAGATACCCTGTGAAGGCAAAAACCATAACTTACTCAGCTTTGCATCTCCTGCATTGCCTAGCACACTCTTATACATAGTGGGCAGTTAATAAATGTTTATGTTGACTATTTTTAAAGGGAACTAAATAGTTATTCCCTGCAAATGAGAACTTAAGTGTACATAAACAACTAAAGATACCCCAGGGGAAAGATGATGATCTTGAATAAACAATGAAACCTGACTGCCTTTTTGTTTAAGGATAAACACTTGTTTAATGTACCATGCCTGTGTGGAAAGTTTGGTGTTTTTTTTTTTTAATCCTGAATTCGTGAATGTAGATCATAAGCATGAAGCGCAGTTCAGTTTCCACCGGTGGTGCTGGCCGCCTCTCCATGCAGGAGTTAAGATCCCAGGACTTAAATAAACAAGGCCTCTATACTCCTCAAACGTGAGTATTTCCCTTGTGGTTCTAACTTGCATGCTTTATCATCTTAGGCAAAGAAATCATAAAAATAGTTAATACAAAGATGTAATATGAGTGATGTCTTGGTGAGTCTTGTCTGTTCCCAGGGGTACCTAATTTTGGATCAATGAAGACTAAAAGTGGGTGTGATACTCTGCTAGGTGTCGTGTGTCATCTCATTTGTTTCTTAAATTCCCAAAGCCAAATGCTCTACCAGGCACGCCTTAAAAGGACTGTTAATTCTTCTTCAGTACTCTCTTTTTTTTGTCTTTTATTTTAGAGCTACTTGTTTAAGCAGGCTCTATGCTGTAACTTAGAGTTCACTGAGATATTTTCAATTAGCAAAGCTCTCAATCAAATCAGAGGAAAAGTATTTGCTCTCGTAATACGGTATAATATAGTAGCAGCCTACAAAACACCACTCCTCCAAACTCTTTCCTCAAGATTTGCTGAAAAAATATCTGAAAGAACTTCTATTGTATAGCTTTTCACTCTGAGTGATCTTCCAGATAAGAGAAAGCTATTTGTAAGCCATTATAGAGCTGTATCAATTCTTCTCTAATACTCAGGTACAACTTACTTGCTAACTGATTTTAAATTACTTGGGTTTACATAGTATAAGCCTATGGTACTTTTAGACACTTGAAATATTTATATATTTTTCCTTTTGAATACTGTAAACCAAGAAAATATTTGTGCTGTTATACATTACATACACCAAGAAGACTTTATTCCTTTAATTGTATTAGAAGCTAAAAGGTCACCAAAGGTCACCATGGTCAGTTTTTTTTGCCTACAGTTTAGATAATGTAATAAGTGCAGCTATATTCTCATACAGAGTCTCTAAAAGAAAAAAAAAATTGTAAATGTGGTTAAGATCATGGAAATCATAATGTAGATTGGATTTTTGTTCTGCAGAGAAGTCAAAGACTTAAATCAGCATAACAAGCCTTACCTTTGACCATTTTGTCTTAACTGGACTTCCCACCTACATCTGTCTTGGCAAATAGGTGAAATAAGCCAGGCATAGACAGTTAAACACCACGTTTCTCATAGGTGCAAACTAAGAAAAAGTTTATCTGTAGCATTAAAAAGTAAAATGGATGCTAGAAGCTGGGAAGGGTAGGGAGAAAATGGGTATACAGAGAGATTTGTTAAAAGACACAAAATTATAGCTAGATAGGAGGAATAAGTTCTGGCGTTCTATAGTACTGTATAATGACTATAGTTAACAATAATATATAGTATAGTTTTAAATAACTAGGAGGATATTGACTGTTCCCAACACAAAGAAAATATAAATGTTTGAGATGATGGATATGCTAATTACCCTGATTTGATCACTGTACCTTATATGTATCACAGTGTCACTATGTACCCCATAAATAGGTACAAATTATGTGTCAATTTTTAATTCTTTCTGTTAATAATTTAAAGTTAGAAAGTAGTAATAATAATGATATTTAGGCCTGAAAGTATGTTCTACGTCTTTGGGATGCAAATTTGCTATCTCGTTCTTTACCTTCAGGGTTTTTTTTTTAACTTTGGCTTTGCTCTTTGGAAATGCAAATTTAAGGTAGAAAATGTTTAGATGGTTATTAAAAATGAGATGAGTAAAACAGATGTGCTGAGGTTAAAACAAAGATTAAATCTACCAAAGGGTACTTGTACCAGAGGGACCTCTGGTAGTCCCCCAACATTACAAGCATTGTAACTTATATTGCCATGTTTACCCCATCCTATTTATAACAGCTTTCATGACTTTGCTAAACATTTTTGTGATTTTGAATTATTTTTGTAGTTAGTAGGGAAAAGTTGTTGGTTCTATTTCTAAAAGTTTCTTGAGCAAATTTTAATTTTTATTTTAAAGAGTTGTTTTCTATTTTTCTTAAAGCAAAGAGAAACCAACCTTTGGAAAGTTGAGTATAAACAAACCAACATCTGAAAGAAAAGTCTCGATATTTGGCAAAAGGTAATGATATTTTTTATTAGCTCTAAAAAGGAATTCTTATAGCCATACATTGTTGCCCTCAGAGAACACATACATTAGATGACGTGGTTCCTTTTGAGAGAAAAGTTATAATCTCATTTTCCTCTGTTTTTAAATGGTTAAAATTTTAGGTTATATCTACTTTAAACAGTATAGCTAACATATTCAGACCACTATTTCATTGTTAGAAGTAAATAATTGATTGAAAATTTTCTACCTAGCTTTCAGACACAGTAGAGTCATTGCATTTTAAAATAAGGAGTGGCCAGGCATGGTGGCCACGCCTGTAATCCCAGCACTTTGGGAGGCCGAGATGGGAGGATTGCTTGAGTCCAGGAGTTTGAGACCAGCCTGGGCAACATGGCAAGACCCTGTATCTACAAAAAAAAAAAAAAAATTAATTAGCCAAGCAGGCATGTCAACCAGGTAAAGTGGCTCACACCTGTAATCCCAGCACTTCGGAAGACTGAGATGGGAGGATTGCTTGAGTCCAAGAGTTCGAGACCAGCCTGGGCAATATGGCAAGACCTTGTCTCTAAAAAAAAATTTTTTTAATTAGCCAGGCATGTAGACCAGGTGTGGTGGCTCACACCTGTAATCCCAGCACTTTGGGAGGTCAAGGCAGGCAGATCACTTGAGTCCAGGAGTCCAAGACGCAACCTGGGCAACATGGTAAAACTCTGTCTTTAGAAAAAATACAATAATTAGCCAGGGGCAGTGACGCATACTTGTAGTCCCATCTACTTGGGAGGCTGAGGCAGGAGGATCACTTGAACCCAGGAGGTGGAGGTTGCAGTAAGCTGAGATGATCACACCACTGAACTCCAGTCTGGGTGACAGTGAGAGACTATCTCAAAAAAAAATTTTTTTTTAATTTAAAAATTAGCTGGGCATCATGGTACACACCTATAATCCCAGCTACTCAAGAGGCTGAGGCAGGAGGTTTGCTTGAGCCCAGGAGGTCAAGGCTTCAGTGAGTCATGTTAGCACCACTGTACTCTGGCCTAGGCAATAAACACCCTGTCTCAAAAAAATAAATCTAAAATGAGAAAACATTATCTCGTTCTACATTTTAGTCTCTTTTACAGTCTAAAAGATTAATGAGAACTCCACAGAGCTTTTGTTTTATGGTCTATATCTGTCAATATTAACCATAGTAGAAAATAAAACTGAGAAAAATTTAAAACATGTATTCAATTTAAAATAACAACCCATTACATGGTAACATAAATAACATGTTTTTAAATTTTAAAAAACATATTTTCAAAAATAAAACAATTTCAGTAAGAAAAGTTACATTGTTTTTGAGTTTTTGCAAATCTCTTGTGGCTTAATAGCAGACAGCTAGATTCCAATACTTGCTTCTGCATTGAATCTCTTGCAATATCATACATAATGGTACCAGCCTCTGGAAGACTCCACCGTACACTCATGAGAGATTCAAAAT